CATCGTCATTTAATTTCCCTTTTTTAACATATTTTTTTTATTTTGTTGAAAGGATTCACCGAGAACCTGTCGAAAATTCACCTGGTGGTGATGTGTTCATCGAGAATTAGTTAATTAAAAGATAATTTCAAAATTAATTTTCGATATCAATTATCATTACTGACAACTAATTATTGTTCTTATAAGCAAATTTAATTAAGATGATTAGCAATTCCTGGTTGTCGAAAAAGATAAACTAAATTGAGATCATTATTACATTTTTGAATAATTTAAAAATAACTAATTGTAAATAATAATAATTAATATCGTAGATTAATGAGAAAAAATCTCACTACTTTCATTTTTTTTCTTATAGAATTCAATAATATCGCACTTTTATGACAAAAAAGGAGGAATTTATAATAAGAATGACTTAAGTCCACAATTTGTAAGATTCATTCTATAAATACGATTTCGCACTTAAAATAGGTCCTATAAATCATGGGCTTCTCGTATTTTTGACATATATGCATGATTGCAATAATAACCATAACAATGATAATCGTCAAAATATGCAACGCTAACAATGACAACGACAGCGATAAACCTCGCTTTTGTCATTTTCGCACACACGAGTGTGAAATTGACATATCTGTTATTTTTCGAATCAATTATCCAGAAACCGATATAATTTCAGAGAATTTGAAAAATTCGCAACAGAAACCATTTAGATATTTTACTTTCTTTGAGAAAATGTAATTGATTCCAATAATCCGTAATTTAGTTGTAATAATATATATGATATAAATCATACAATTATTACAACTAAATTATGTATTCGAATAATACGCCAAGTTATCCAAGTAGACAGAGACAGATCAATATCTTGTTTTCTTGATAAACTATTTTTTGTCTTTTTTTTGTCTTTTTAGTCCTTTCTTTAATCCAATGTACAAAATGTGAAGGAATCGAACGTGGTACAATTAGAAAAAGGGGGTACTTATACTTCGCGTAAAAATACATTAAAAATAATGACACATTTTTTATATCACTTCATATTAAAAAATTTACATTGTATATATAATTTATATCTAAAATCAAAAAATCTATATTTTTAGGCTTGGATTTCGAGAAATTCTATTCTAATATAATGGAAAATCTAATATAACACAGAATTTATACCGGTTTCTCGATTCGGCTTTAATTCGGAGCCTTATAAATTCGAGCCTTCTCGCTAATTTTTAATATGTAATTTTCGATCGCACAATAATTAATTCAAGATTACAAGGAAAAAGTAAACACGATATGGTGCTATATGCAAAAGGACTAGACGCTACGTTGTTGTCGGAATTAGTAAGAAACAAGGACTGTTGTTGTTATTATTATTATTATTAATATTAATATCATTATTATTATTATTATTATTATTATTATTATTATTATTATTATTATTATTATTATTATTATTATGTCGAAAAAAGCATATCCGAAGAAACGTTTCTAGCGATCTTTTGTACTTTTTTGATTGAAGATTTGTTATAATTGCTCGCTTGTTCGCTAGAATTCGTCGTTAGATGTGTATGTGAGAGAGTGCGTGTGTATATCGAGTGTTGAATGCTAAACCTAATGCTTAAATGTATGTCCTATTCGTCTTTTTAATTTCTTCCTCATCGCTTCTTATAAAAGTTCGTATAGTGTTATCTATAATATTTAACACAAGTGTGAACCACACCTACGCGAAGAATTTAATACATTATTGTTGTTATCATTGGTATTAAATAATACATTAAATTCCGCGCATAAAAAAACCACATTTTTTTCACAGAGCATAAAGCGCAATTTTTGAAGTCCATTATTTTTTTTTTTCCTATCAACACACCGTTGGAGATGAGCGCTCTAGATCTGCGCGATCTCGATAGCTAAAAGGGGACAGATCGTTGTTCGTTTGTGTTCGGCTGTTTGGAGCCGCTCGGAGCAAAATGCAGCTCCGAGTTGTAACAAGTGAAACGACTTAAAGACGATTATATACGGAATTTGTTGACTTTTCTAGATTACTATCTTTAAGGATTGCGTCTCGGGTGTATCAGAACTCGTGTGATTATACAGGATGTCCACAGATGTTTTGGCTAAACAAGTTATGTTATTAAATTGAACATATTTTTACTTATATAGATAACTTATATAGATATATACATATATATTGCATTACATAAAACAACAATTTGTCCTCGAATACTTTTGTTGGAAAAAAATGTATATTAAAAACAAGAATTCGTTAATTATTTGCATTTATGAAACTAATTTACAAAAATCTTTTTATTTTCATTAAAAATTTGGATATCTAATCATTTTTAAGATACAAGTTATAGATGAAGATAAAGTTTTAATAGATAATTAACTTTCGAATAATTAATTTTAAGATAATTATCATATTAGTTAAAAGTTAATTATATAAAAATTATTGCTGTTTGAATTTTTTTCCTCACTGAAGAAGAATTAACCAAAAAATCCGCCGTTAAGGAACATCCTGTACTGTTGTCGTTCATCATAAAAGTGACATGACAAACGAATGTTCGAAAGTATACTTTTTCCGAACATTTTCGCAAAATTCCATAACATATTTTGCGAAAGAGAAAGATTTAAATACTTCCACTCTCCCGAGACTATATTTTTTACAAAATACACTATTTGTGAAAAAATGTTATTCAATATAGCCTAACAATTAAATTTCTATTATTATGCAAAACGATTCGATAATGTATAACAAACGACAATGCTCTCCACTTTCGCTCACCGTCACTGGCAATGAATTGTACAACATTTATACATAATATATTGTTTTAAAAAAACACACTTCCATACTTATATATAACATACACAACATTCATCACAAAAAATTAAATTCGTATTTTCTATCGACGTTCCATCATGGTAAAATAATTGTTGGATTTTTTAAACAAAAAAAAATACTTTTTCAGATTGCATTGTGTTACTATGTAATAAAAAAATTGAAAACTTTTTGCATATCTATAATGTTTTAATCGTAAAAAAAATATTTCAATAATGGCAATAATTCAATAATATTTTCATTTCAATTGAATATTATTAATTCAAAATTATTTCACTGTAGTCAATAATTAATTATTTGAATAATTATTGATTCCAAAATGTGTTTGGTACAGTTCATAAATTTTAAATGTCACAATTTTTATATACGCAAGTGAGATTAAGTGGCGATGTGACGTCTTCTACTTTTTAAACACATTGCCAGTGAATATGTATGGACGTAGTGATTGCTCTTCATCGAATTACTCATAAAGTACAGAATTCGTGTACAGTTTCTGTTTTATAACTCTAACTATCTTATAATTTTTGACCGAGAAAAACTTGTGAAAACGGAGACGCTTCTCATGTTAATCACATTTTTCTTTTGGAGTTATGGTACTACTCATCTTCGGTGTCACCGTCGCTACTATAATCCTGCAATGTGGGTGGTCTCGAGAATGGTGCCTCATTTGTTTGACTGTAATATTGAAATTTCTAAGAAATTATTATATTCTTCATTAATATTGATAAAAATATGTATCTTTAATATATTCACTAATTTATTTTATTTGTTTAATGACTTTTTATATTACAATTGTATTTCTAAAATACTTTCATATTACAATTGAGATCTCTTCATAGATCAATAAAATTTAAAACTACTTACGCTAATCTACGATAATAATTTAACCATTCTTCCAGCATCTGTGCAACAAGTAACGGTCTCTTGTGAAGCTTCTGCTGCGCTACAAGGATTCCACCTTCCGTCCTGCACACGTCCAACCATTCCTTGTAAATGGATTCTTCACGACCAATCTCATCGGCTGTGAGAAAGTGTATTGGCAGGAGCTTGTGCTCGCGATCCATCAGCGGCATAAAAGTGGTCTGCATCTGGATTTGCAGTTGTTCAAGTGGGCTGTTGTTGCCACTCACCACACTGTGGGACGCAAGGGGCGGTATTCTGGATGAGGCATAAGGCTCAATTGGCACTAACGCCGTGAAATGACCGCGAGTGTAGCCCAAAGCAATCGGCGAACGGATGCAGAAAGAAGGTTCCCATAGAAGCGGAAGGTAAACACCCTCGAATCTCGCATAGCCTACAGAAATGATAAAATTTATTTCTTAAATCTTAAAAAAAACCTTTACAATCTTTGAAAAATCATACGTTGTAAAATCTTTTATATAATCTTTACATGGAAATTTAAGAAATTGAGTTAATTTATTAAGTTTGCAAATTGATTATTAATTACCAGACAAGTAAAAACAAAAATATTTTTTGCTGAGTTTACCTATATCTTCACCGCGAAAGCTTTTAACATATTTAACCCCATATACGATAATGGGTCGTCTTAAAATGTGGGCGAGGGCGAATACATGCAATTGTTCTAATGCGCTTCCGGGCTGAGCGGCCGTTGCCAGTAAACTCTCCCAGTCTTCTTGCCATTGTGTTTCTTCTAAAGTGAAATCTAACATCCTAGCTGCCTGTGATGCTTCATATTCTCTCCAACGAGGATAAAAGCTGAAACAATATTTTATATATTATATTTCAAAAGATCAAGCAATCAAAGGATGTGACATTCTTAATTAACTAAATTGATTCATCAAAATTTTTCAATTATTGTCACTAATGTTGAATATTGGAATATTTTTATAACTGTTCTTATTATTTAATATTTTATTAATCTTTTAATTATTCTTTTAATTATTAGAGTTTATATATACCTATTGTTTTATTACTATTATTTCAAATTTCAATAGATATAAATATACATTCGCGTTAAATTATTAATTAAACATAAAGTTATATTAAGTACAAAAATTAAATTAATTGCAAAGCGCACTTACAACTGCCCTGCTTGTTGCAAAGTATCGGCAAGCGCTCTTCTTAGAGCGTTATCCCTATCGAAAACACCCCAAGTAGCCTGCATAGTAGAATCGAGGAGACAATCTCCGGCCGATCTGTTCCAGAGCGCATGCAAACGACTGCCTAACCGCTCAGTAATTTCTAAAGACCAATTTAAGGCCGGCGGTTCACCACCACCTCCCTCTAGTTGCTGTTGAGCTTCCTTATCTAATAATTCTTCTAACATTTGTTCTTGCACAATACTCGGTAAATCCTCAACCTTAAAATATATTTAGCAAGTTTAAATGCAAAAATAATACTTATATCTTTCTCTGTTTTTAGTAAGGTATAATATTGCGAATAATAAACATTTAAAAAATTCAAAGATTCGAGTTACTAGTTTAAATTGTAATATGCATTATAGTAACCTCGGCTGGCAACGCAAAAGTGGCCATATCAGTGACGAAGTAACAGGGAAACGAGCCTTTGCGTAAGCGTATACTATTGGTGACATGTCGACGAATCTGTACTGCGAGGTCCGGTGCGACGTAACTCGGTACCCTCTTAACTCCTGAGCCCGAACCTTCGATTTGTGATAGTAATGTAGCTAAAATATCTTCCCTTTGAAACCTATTGAAATCAAATTAAATTATAAAGATATGCAATCTATCAATAATGAGGGAAGCTATATAATAAGAATATAGTTGATAAAATAATTAAATAAAATAACCATATATATATATATATATATATATAGAAGACTATCCAAGGAATAAAAATCGCTTATTTTCTCTCTTTTCTTCACTTATTTAAATTGGTGAAGAATGTATTTGGTATTTTTATTTTAAAGTTTCACTTAATCTATTAATGTTAAGAAAATGTACACATTAATGATTATTGTTTATTGCTAAAGCTATCGATTTAAATGATTTACCTAATAGCCAAGTGCACCAAAGTGTGCCCAACGTCAAACGCGCTGCTTCTATTGAGGAGTAAGACCTCAGAATGCGTCAATTGGCGAGCAGGATCACCGCCACTCGCCAGGTAAGCTTCGACGGGGGTGTTATCACCTTCAACGATACCGAGACAAGCATTTAGCCAACACCAATCGGTATGACGTCTCAATTGCTTCAATCGGCGCTCGTAATCACAATTATTTGGAGATTGAGGAGTCGATAGACTGTCATTCCGGCTGTCTGCATATCTGTGTGGACCTCTAAAAAAATTGCATAATACAAAAAAATATATAATACTCATGAAATATACAAGAGAAAATATACGATCGATACGTAAATAATAATTTAGTCACCTCCTTCCTATCGCTAAATTATCCTCCCTTTGCGTTTGATGAACTGTAGGGTGCATGCGGAGGTGATGGCAGACCCCGTTGACTATGCTCCCTCTCGGGACTTGGTAAAATTACTCCCACATTCCCTTGTGTTCCCTTATCCTTCTTATCTTTTTCTTTTGGATGACCACACATAACGCACTTGGTTGCTTTGGGCCAGTTTTCATAAGTACACGCATGACAAGACCATTTCTCCGGATTCATATTATACAATTTTTCTGGATGAAGATTAATCGGCGAGGGATTTAACTGAGAATTCGATCCCGAATTTGGTGGCCCGTCGGCTAATCGCAGCGGCGCTAAATGTTCGTGCAAATTTGACGCTAATGAATTGACGGACTGATTCATTGGTTTTCGGTTGCCACATTGAACGCAACGCGTTGCGTTTTGATAATTAAGATAAGTGCACATGTTGCAGGCCCACTTTCCTGCGGAAGGCAGATTCTGACTGTAATTTTGCGAGATAAAGTTGTCAGTAGGGCTTATTTGAGGCACGGGACCAGAAGCGACGTTGGAGGAGCCTCTTTGAGGACTGGGATCTCGAAGACGGTAAATATCTTCGCCAAGAAGTGGCTTGGCACCTCTGCACATGGTACATTTTAAAGAAGAGGGCCAGTTTTCATAAGTGCAGTATTCGCAGGTCCATTTCTGCTCTGTTTCTTCAAGTCTGCTGCTCATCTTCACCGGATGAAGATTAATCGATGAAGGTTTTGGTCTCTTCGCTGCAAAGGATGCAGTACTTTTGTCGATGTAGAAGAAGATATTGAGTTGAAAGATGACACTGTAATATGCACTGAACATTAAATATTCTAAATATTCCGATCCAATTTTCTATGCCTTGCCACGCATGATCTATTAGGAGATTTGTGTCCAAGTTTGGTTTATACGGTCCAGTTTACGCTATGTGATCAACATCGTGTCTGACTGTTGTAAAACAAAATTGCTAAACTTGTGCTAATGTAGACATTGATGGAAGAATCTGAAAACAAACAAAAATATTTACACAAAATGTTTTATAAGAGAGTTATGAATATATAGTAGAAAATATTGTATAAAATAAAAATTATTACAAGAATAAATGTACTTTGTTGAGCTTCGTGTACAATATGTAAAATTAACTAACATTTAAAGCAAAAAAGAGAAGAGAAAGTGCAGAATAAATGAAGAAGATATAACCAACACAAACATAATTAACAAGATATAAAACTATCAATAAATATAAACTGATCAATATTGAATGTCCTTTGTAGGACTAAGTATGTGTTGATATCTGTTATCTCTGATTGTTTTGTAATTTACATGTAATTTACATGTGACACAAGTTCTCAGGACAACATAATGAAGTGGAAAAATGGTAAGTTGTGTCCATTTTATTATAGATATAACTTCTTACATTTTCTGTGCATAAATAACACAAGTCTGTTTATCACAGCTTTAGCTCTTCTTCCTTTCTCTTTCCACTTAATATGTATTTATTTTATTTCAAAAACCATTAAACAAGAAAAAATAGTCAAATTAGGAAGACTTAAATATATAAAAATTATACTAATGAAAATATTAGAAAGTAGAAAGGTCAGAAATGTACAAAGTGCAATTGAAAACAAACAGATATTACGATTATAAAAAATATTACGAACATTAAAATACGAAATGCCTTCGAATATGATGTACTTTTGGTAACCATACTTGACACATTATTTCAGCGTCTCAAATTTGAATATTGAGAGAAAGAGAGAGAAAGAAAGAAAAAGCTATATATAAACACAAATTATTTAAACTTGAAATGCCTATCTACTTAGTTACATTTCGTGAAGTCGGAAAACACGTAATATCGCGTGGCCGACTGATCTCTCATTCGCTTCCTCAACATCGACGAATACTTTTTGTCGAGAATTTAACTTGCCAAAACGAGAAATGCTCATCTTCGTCAAAAATCTGCCCAGCACAAGAGAAAAATCACGAAATACCGAAAGTTGAAGTTGTTCTATTTTCAGGTGGTCAAGAGGTGTGCTACTAGGATTAGTAGTAACATTGATGTTATCCAAAATCACCTTGGAATTTCGCCTGCCGAAAACTATCGTCGCACTTGACTATCCTCCATGAGAAATTTTTCGAATTGATACTATTCAGTCGACTCATGAACTATTCATGCTCCAGCGTGTTCAGCTTTCAGATACTCAGCACTCGTATTCGAAACGGAGGTTAGTTGTATACACACGTATGTGCCTGTACACACACACATATACACATACATACATATAATACACTAATTTCACGAACGCGAAAATATTCTAAATCACGCGACACTTTCCTCCCGCGAAATGACTCGAGGATGACGACGATAACGTAGAATCGGAACACGAGACGCGACGAAGAGAAGGACGGGTGACGGAGAGTCTCTCGTCTCGATGAAGACACGACAGAAGACACGAGAAGTGCGAGTCGCCGTTACGGTAGGCCGCGCGTCACGACATCGTCTACGAAGCTTTGCGCGCGCTCACGACGTGCTGCACCGCTCGTCTCTCGTGATGCTGGTGAACTGCTGCGCGAATACGACGACGACGATCTCGCTCGCTAGTTGCGGAAGTGGGTTTTGACAGTCATCCGCAAACAGACGGATGCCAGTGTTGCCAACCGCTGTTCTACCATTGTTTCGCATACCATAAGAGTATATCCAGATAACTTGCATAAGCGCGTAAGCATATGCATAAGAATATGGATTGGTCCATAACAAGATGCATAAGGAAATGGACCAATCCAATTCTTTGTGCATATGCTTATGCGCTATGCAAGTTTCTTTGGATATACCTTTATGTCACGGCAGTATGCGCGCTAACCTAAAATTTCAACGTGTGGTAAATAATTTGAAGAATAAAATTCAAAACACTTTATTTAAAAAAAATATTTGTCAAAAGTGCACGCTGTTGAACAACGTTGTAGAATTAAATAACAGAAATAGGTAGAAGTATAAGTTAAAAATTGTGTGTCAAAAAATCTGAATTCAGATTGAAGACACCGCATTTTTATTTGAGCACTTAACCTATCAAAAGAAGGAGAGAAAGTGTGAGCAGCAACTAATCACATTTGGTTCACTTTTGCGTTCTTTTCTTTGTGCATCACAATAATTGGAAAGAGTTGATTATCGATTATTTTAACAATTTCGAGGATTAGCGTAAGGTAATCCCAAAACTCTGCATGTTTTCAATGCCTGTCTCGTTACAAAAACTGTTAATGAAATTGTCGATAAATAATTTCGTTAGGAAAATAAGATTTAACAATTTTGCTTGGCTTTTATTATTTATACGAATAAAAATATTACACTGCTGCCAACTGGTTTGTCCAACTTCCATCACGCGAGTCTATTGTAACCTTAAAATGCGTCTTATCCTCGTTCTTATTCACGTCCTTTTTCGTTTTTTTTTCTTTTACAGGAATTAAGTTTATAATAACAGTTTGAAGGACAGCTTTTCATTTTTTATGTTGTCTTGATATATAATAAAATATTCATTTTTGAAAATGTCAGAAAACAAATAGCATAACCAGCTGTTCACGCGCTGACGATTCGACTGCTTTTGTAAACTTGTAAACAATATTCACAAATTAAATTCGCACGCAATGTCTTTCACCTTTATTAATGATTTTGCAGTAAATTTTGTCGAAACTGAAGAAACTCGGAACCTCACCTCACGAAAAACTCGAGTTGCAATTGACGAAACTACTTTTTATTTATAAATATCTCAGACTTACTGCCAAATAGGACCATATAGTCTAAACATTTATCCTTGACATTTCGTCAACGAGATCGCGAGATTGTTTCGGAACTTGTTGGCAAGATATTGCGAAAACCGAAACGCCAAACTCATTCGTCCAGAAAGGTAATTTGGTTTTAAATTACATCCTAAGAATTAACACATTAATGACTCGGCCAATAAAAACATTTTATAATTTTCCCCTTTTCAATGTCAGAATTATCTATATATATTTTATTTCAAATGTATGTGTGTGTTGTGTAGCATGACATACTGAAAAGAACACATCTCATATGTGTCGTCTGCTTGCAATACTCGTGACGTCATACGGACAATCAGCTGAGACATATCAATTACATTGATCTTTTATCGATGAAAAGATTTTAAGAGGAAACTTATCGAATTATACTTTGGAAAATTTGCAATGACGAAAATGGACGAAATGATGATTCGAGTGCTGTACGGAAGCGAGACCGGAACCGCACAAGACGTCGCTGAACAGATCTGGAAAAGCGCCAAAAGGTTTTGTATTGTTCCCCTCTATTACATGAACTTCTCTCCCCTTTTGACACGCAAATGCTATTCTTGTATTTTTAAATGATCTTCAAACAGATGTGATTCAAACTTGTATTTTTAACATCACTTGTCTTTCCTATATAGGTTTTTTATGAACATATGAACATATGATTTTTATTCTAGCTGACAATATTCGTCAGAAAAGATCTATGATAAAAATGCATCTTTTTACTGTATTTTAATTTAAAAAATGAATAATTTTAAAACTTAGTAAATATACATATAATATATCCACTTACAACTTCACAGAAAAAATTACGAAGTACTGTATCGTCTCTGGATGACTACAACATTCAAAATCTTTCTTCAGAAGAATTAATTGTCTTTATTGTTTCAACCACTGGACAAGGAGATCCTCCGGTCAACATGAAACAATTCTGGAGGCATTTATTACGCAAGAATCTTCCAACAAATCTTCTCCAGAACCTAAAATATGGTGTACTTGGTTTAGGTGATAGTTCCTATTCAAAATTCAACTTTGCTGCGAAGAAATTAAACAAACGTCTTGCGCAATTGGGTGGAAATGAATTATTACCCATTGGACTTGCTGATGATCAGCATAATCTAGGAATTGATGCTGTGGTTGATCCATGGATCAGAAAATTGTGGGAAGAAATTGCAAACATTTTTAACGTTTCTATAGAAGACGAAATTGACGAAGAAAATTTGATAATTGAAAGGTATAATATTTCGATAATAGAAATTGATCAATCAAATTCAATAACTATTGACAAACAATCAATAGATAGTTTATATCATTCAAATACTAATATTTATGCACATGAAATACTTGTAAATAGCAAAGTTAAAATAGGAACAATGGTTGAAAATATAAGAACCACCACGGAAGATCATTTTCAAGATGTTAGATTAATAAAAATTCAGGGAAATGATATTAGATATAATCCTGGAGATGTTATCTATATCAGACCAAAAAATTCTATGGAACAAATAAAACGTTTCTTTGATATACTCTATGAACACAATATAAAACTATTTCCAAACACAATAATTAAAGTATCAGAGAAAGAAATCAAGATTCCATTTGTTTTAAATCAAACTTTAACTCTGGGAGAGATCGTTGAACAGTATTGGGATCTGAATTTCAAGCCACGGAGATCTACTATGCATCTTTTATCTCTTATTAGTGAAAATGAGCTGGAAAAGGAAAAATTGTGCGAATTTGCTAGTCCAGTTGGCCAGGAAGAACTTTATGATTACGTAAATAGACCGAGGAGAAACATTTTGGAGGTTCTTGCAGATTTCCCTCACACCACCAGTAAAATGAACATTCAATTGTTGTTCGAAATCATGTCTCCCATAAAGCCACGTCCTTATAGCATCGCCTCTAGTTCAAAAGCTACTCCAAATAGTATACAAATTTTGGTAGCAATAGTTAAGTATAAAACTAGATTGATGGAACCAAGATTTGGTTTGTGTTCAAAGTGGCTGGCAAGTTTAAAAACTAACGATAAAGTGATATTTTGGTTACAAAAGGGAACTTTTCAGTTTAAAGATAATAAACCGATGATCTTGATTGGTCCTGGAACCGGAGTGGCTCCATTTAGATCTTTGCTTTTGGAAAAAGCAATGGAGGGAGAAAATTTGATGGAATATATCTTGTTTTTTGGCTGTAGAAATAAGGATAAGGATTATCACTGTAGAGATGATTTTGAACGTTTATCAAAAGAGAATAATTTGAAAGTGTTCTGCGCATTTTCCAGAGACCAGAATCGTAAAATGTAAGTCACTTGCTTAATTACACAAATTATTTATAATTATATTTCAATCAAAAAGTACAAAATTTATAAAACAAAAATATAAAATTGTGACGGTTGTTCAAAAAATTATATTATAAATATTAATTATTTTTAGAATCATGTATGCAACATAAATCTGAACTTTCGCATCGCAAAGATTTTGTAAATCATTATTTTTGTTTTTTTCCAATATTAATTATGTTTAATGTTGTTTTCAGATATGTGCAACATGTTATCCATCAGCAAAGAGAACTATGTTGGCAGTTTTTACAGAATAACGGCGGTGTTTATTTAGCAGGGAATTCTAAAAACATGCCGGATGATGTGCGCAACGAATTTGTGAATTTGGTAAAAGAAATTGGTAAGATGACAAAGGAGCAAGCAGAAGAATTCATTAAGCATCTGGAGAAGAACAATCAATATCAAACTGAGACTTGGGGTTAATAAAATATACAAAATCATAAAGGCTGTGCTTTTTTAGGAAAACATTAATAGGTAAAATAACAAATAATATGGTTGAAACAAGGAAAAATGTTTAATACAATCATCATATTTTTATGGTGTTTTACATATTGTAAGCATAAGTGATTTCTTTTTACGCTATAATACAAATATCGACAAGCTTAATAATAAATCAAAAAATACAATTTTTTATTTAATTGTTTAGGTCTTGTGTTATCTGGGGCTTTCTTCAGTGAAGAAAAAAATTAAGTCATACAAAAAAATCATAAAAAGGAATCTACATGTACATTATTCACATATGATTAGCAGCCATATTGCTCTTTACTATTATGGACAATTTCTAATTAGCGACTTCGTGAAAACGGTACATTTTGTTTCATGCAATCATAAATTAAAACGAACAGACTCATTGTGCTACTTTTACTGACTTTTACTCCAAATCTTTTCAGATGTGTAACTCTCGTGAGTACTCGGCGCGTTTCGGTACTTTTCGCTACGCGAGGCGTGCAACACTAATGTAAGCTATCTCGATGAACTCTCAACCCTTCGCAACCTAACCTGACTAAAATACTGTTCAGAAACATGGTACGACCGTTCGCGTGCCGCCGTCTTGCAGTGCTCTCCGTATCACGAATGATCTCAACTCAACTTAGTCGCTAACCGCAGCATTTTTTGTTCTTTTTTTTCTTTTTCAACGTGAAAAAGAAAGAAAGTACAAGAAGCAAACAAAACACTCGAAGCGTAAACGTCGACCGATGGACATTGGCACGTGATTTTTTTCTCACCACGCATCATCCTTTCCGGACGGTCCATTAACGTCGATCACCAACAATAACTTTAGTAAATCACCCATCGAGTAGTCAAGTTGGAGACGAGCAGCGCAAAAAGATCGTCCGGTATAAGGTCTGTCTCTCCTTAGCACACCTTATTTAGCTTACCTTTCCATCTATCTTCTTTCAAATGTATTTTCCTATATAATGTGTATCCGACCTCTCGATTATTACATCACAATATATGTAAAAAAGCTATATTTAGGTGAAAAAAGAATATTTTGCAATTTAAGATAATAGTTTATTTATATTATTTAGTATTTCTATTAATGTGTGTAGTATATACTCAGTCTTCCAATTCTTATATCTAATATCTTATATAAAATATTTGATTTCGTAATTTGTAGCTTAAAAAATGTTTATATTTTTATTTTAATTCTAATATATTAATACTGTTTCTACTTAACCTATTTAATCTACTCAAAGAATATTGATATTGGGTGTAACCGGTCTCCTCCTTATTGCTTTACAAAATCTAGGTCACTTTTATGTAAAAAAAACATTAGTTTATATTTAATTTAAATTTGAATCTATTTATTATTACAGGATATTTTATATATATATAAAGAGTTTAGAATTTTTTTTAAATGTTTATTTTCAAATTTTTACGTTAATATATCGATATATTTCTCAATATTTTTAACGATGATAAAAATTATTTAGAATTTATAAAACTGATGTATAGCGTTACATATTTAAAAAATTAAAATATTTGAACATTTTTATAATTTAAGAATTAATTTTGCATGTATTGTGACACTTTGTAGCAATTTTTGCGATATATCGTCTAGATTTTATGATAATTCCATGTAAGGTATTATTATACACTCCACTAAAAAAAAGATATTTTAAATGAAAATATTATTGTAGGAAAGTACAGAGAATGCAGATAAATTTATGCTCTTTCTGGATCAATCGTCAGGAGATTTAAAGTCGTCGCAGTCAGTACTGAAGTCATCATTAAAGTTAGTAGCATTTGAAGACTTTTGACGAAAAAAAGAGAAAAGATGGCGGGCACTTACACGAAGAAGGAGTTTGGCGCTGGGCCTGAAGAGCAGACCCTGTTGAAAGACTCAAACGGAACTCGTATCGTGCCTGCGAAAGGTAATGGGACACTCACGTCCGTTATTGTAGCTATAGGGAATGCAGCAGTTTTCTTGGAATCACTTTTTCGTCGTTTTATTTTCCCACTATATGTATCTGACCAAACCAGTCTGTAGAAGAGGCTTTCATGCTGTGGATGCAGTATCCTTGGCATTGGTAGTGAAGTATTTGTGAATCCAACATCGGTCCGTAGTTTGTTGCGACTTTGATTTTATTAAAAGCCTATACTTTGTGTACTTCAATATTTTTAATATAAACTTTAATTACATAGTAATATGATAATGAAAATTAGACAGACTGGTTTGTTTGTAACAATTTATAATTTTGGTGATTGATATATAATTTGCATGTTTTACCGTTTAAATTTATTTTTTTTTATTGAATTTCAAATAATTTTAAGTGGATTTAAAGTTTAAATAAATTTCAAATAATGCAGAAGAAATTTTTAACTTTTGTATAGTATATTATATTATTTTGTACATACTGATATCATGTTTATTTATTTATAATACACAAATCGATTTATTTGTAATTAATTTAATAATTAATTATATATAATAATTTAATAATGAATTACAAATAAACTACATTTTTTCTAAACATTCTTTGGAAATTTTCCCGATTATTATTTGCATACATTATCTTACTCTATTTTAGTCACTTAAAGTCTGATAAGATGTTTGGAAGATAAATATTCATATGTTTTTGTTTGTTATCTGCGCTGTAGAATACTATTACAATTAATGCTGTATAATTACTATTAATTATTTATAATAGTGAAAAAATATCGAATTTTATTATAATGGATCTTAGACATATTATTTTATATACATTATATATAAATATATTTAGAAGTATAAATTATGCGCAACAATAAGCGATATAGCGATGTTAAAGTATTTTATTGCCATTTATACAAGAGTCATATTCTGCACATGTGAAGATTTTATGTTGCTGATTTAGCTGAATAAATGCGCGAGCTGCTTTACCGCAGTCATTGACTGAGTGTTAAAAAAGTGAGACGAATTGAAACAGTGTTTCTATTTTCCATAGGCAATCAATAAAAATTGTTATCAGTGATAATTTATTAGCAGTGATACAAGTTTTTAATATTCATTTTATTAACATTTCAGTTTCAATATCTTGTATTATATTGTATAAATTTTCTATTCTTGTATAAATTTCAGTTTTAATATCTTGTAATTAAAATCAAAATTCTGATAACATATTTGTCACATGTATTACATACGAATGTGATTTTATCACATTGATTATCATACTTTTGTGTAAATTATTATTAATATTTTATTTACACGTATCGTGGTCTTAGACTGCATCAATTGATCTTAATAGATCAATTCATTGCGACATTCCATTATAGCGGCTGTCCCACAATTATCTTTCTATTCCAATCAGCTATTTGTCTCACTTATCTCTTTGTGTCAATTGTGCATCAAAATTTTTCTTTATGTGTACGTTAGAACTACATCAATTCGAATATATTGTGATTATTAAAGGAATTGTTCTGTTAGAATTACCAATAGTAATACTGATAGACAGATTTAATGTTTGCAAATATAAAGCATTACATAAATTTTTAAGATTGATGATTAAATTCACATTGTAGGTTCCGAACCTGTACGTCTTTCGCCGGGCTGGGAAGGCACGGGCAGGCCTGATGACGAGTTGAATTTTAAAGGCGTCACAATGGATCAAGCAGATCTTGAATTGAACCCTCCTAAGGATAGGTACAGTTATATTTATTTAATAATTATCGATTTTACCAACAATTTGAAATAACATTATTTTATATTCTATTTTAGATTAAATATAGTATTTTACATACTGGTACTTCATGGAATTGGTGCCTTGATGCCATGGAATATGTTCATAACAGCTAAAGATGTAAATCAAACATCACAATTAATAATAATTCTAGTTAAAATTATAATGCAATTTATATATAAAACTATATTTTGCAGTATTTTGTCAGCTATAAATTGTCTAAAGAGTACACTGGTATAGATACAAACTATGCGACGAATTTTCTCGCATATCTAGGATTCGCATCACAAGTGCCGAATCTGATATTTAATTGGCTGAACGTATTTTTACAATTTGGGTACGTATATCGAATGCATTTTGCAATGAAAAGATTGTACAATTTTTTAGTAATTATATCTGTATTAATATTAAATTAAATATTAAAAATAAAAATATAACTTGCAAATAACAGTAGCTTTCTAAATAATTCTGTGGTTTGCTAAAAAGATACTTTTGACTTTTCAGAGGCAATTTAACGACGCGCATTGTATGGAGTATTTTCATGCTGGTCTTGATATTCGTCTTTACTGTCGTCTTGGCAATGACTGATAGTTCTGGCTGGCCTGGAGTGTTTTTCTGGATCACTATGGTATCTGTTGTTATATTAAACAGTGAGTAAACACCATACGTTTATGATTTCATAATATTTAAAGAAAAATTTTTATCACACACTTAAAACTTTATGCAAAATCCTCTTTTATTATTAATTTCTTAATATTAATAACTGTTACACACGTATGAAATTATGTTAAACCAAATTACAAATTAATAATTTAGTTGTTATATTGAAAAAAAATTATATATTGAAATTATGTCATTGATTATGATTATTAATCATTAAGTGATACTTTGATCATACATAATACATTGGAAATTTATGTTTAGTTGCAAATGGCATTTACCAAAACTCCGTGTTTGGAATGGCAGCGAAATTGCCTATAAAGTACACAGGTGCCGTCGTCTTAGGCTCGGTGAATACCAACATTAATTATATCCGATAAAAAAAAGTTTGTTGCATAATATATAAATATGTTATTTGTTATCTGTTATCTGTTTTTAGAATATCAGTGGTACATTAACAGCCGTAATAAATTTCCTTGCTCAAATAGTAGCGCCAAATGCGCGTACCGCCGCTATATATTACTTCATTACGGCTTTATTCGTTCTTCTGGCTTGCTTCGATACATACTTCGCACTTCCAATTAATGTAAGATTTCATATTTATCTTCTTTAACTCTTACTTGGCGATGATTATGCTTCTCGAGACAATCGAGTTAATTGCGCAATATAAGTACTTGGTCTCTTTAGGAAGAAAAAAGATATATAAATTTATAGAAATGATTACTATCGGATTATTTATTTTTTGATTGTTTGATATTGTGATTCATATTTTAATGGATCGTATATGTAAAAAACTAGCGTATTATTTCGTGGAAACTTATTAATTATTAAGAGTTCTGGTTTTATTTCTAATAGTTCTAAAGTTCCTGATAGATTAAGCAAATAGTTCCGGTCGTAAATCATAGAAAATGGTTCTGGTCGTAAGAAAAGACGCTAAATTTACACACACGTATGGATCAAGATTGATCTGGTTAGAATTAATGTGCAATGCGATAAACTAGCTAATTATTATATTAAAACTTCATAATTTAATAAATTGAATTTTAGAGATTTTATCGGTATCACGAACTAATTCATCAGAAAGAAGCGAATAAAAGACAATTGGAGAACAGTTCAAGGGGAAATCAGAGACCACCTTATTGGACAGTATTCAAAGGATGTTTCCCCCAATGTTTCAACACGTTTTTAGTCTTTTTTGTGACTCTTGCACTTTTCCCATCTGTTCAGTCTGATATAACATATTCAGACAAGGATTTTATAATTCCAAATGAATATTATAGCAGCGTCATGTGCTTCTTAACATTTAATATTACTGCCATGCTTGGAAGTACAATTGCGTCATTTGTTCAATGGGTATGTAGGATCCAATTTTATATATTACATTGAATGTGTTATTTTATATGTTATATAGTGTTATTTTAATTTTTATTATTATGATTTTATTATATATATAGTACCAATACAATTAATGTATATATATACATATAGCATTTATATTTCTTATCGTTTATTATTATTATCATCTTATCGTCTTTTCATATTATTATATAATCTATTAGTAAAACTTAATTATTTATTTTTTACACAGCCCAGCAAAAAGTATCTGGTGATTCCAGTAGTTTTGCGACTTGCTTATATACCGTTGTTTTTATTATGCAACTATCAGCCGGCTCGCACAACAAGAATATTACCTATACTCATCAATGATGATCGGATATATTGGGTCATAGCTATTACTATGGGCCTTAGCAGTGGCTACTTGTCATCATTATCAATGATGTACTGCCCCAGGTAAACATAGTTAATAAAAGAGGACAAACAATAAAAAAATGCAAAAAATTTTCATATAATATTATAATACGCAATACATAGTGAAAAAAGGATTAGAAAATATAAAAATTACATGTCAAAAGTAATATATATATTATTATATCAATATATAAGAATATAAAAATATACAATATATGCAATATGATCATATTTAATACTATATAAATATAAAAATATAAAACTTTGTATTTAGAATGGTGGACTCACAGCATGCCTCAACAGCTGGCATGTTCGGAGCAGCATCTTTAATCACGGGAATCTTTACGGGAATCTTGTTTTCTATGGTGATGCCGAGTCTCGTGGCAAGCGTGACGTTTTAATTGTTTAAAGATGCAGTTTAGCATCGCGAAATGCTTATATCTACTCAGAAGACGGAAACACGATTGAAGATTAAGGGTACATAGTTTATCTTCTCTAGTTATAAACTAAAATGATGAAACAACAATTGATGAACACGAAGAAAAAACAATCAAGAAGAAAAAATATAAAATGTTACTTCTGAGAACAACTTGGAAAAAAAGAAATAAGAAGATGAACATCGCTTATTTTAACTCGAATAAGATAAGTTAATTTGCTTATATATATATATATATATGATAAATACATACACATATATCTAATCGTACAATTCTTTAAATTACACTATAACGACTAAGCTTTTAATTAAGTAAAAGCCACTTGAAGTAATGCGTGTTTTTTATAAGCGTGTGATTTGGAGTTTTTATTGATTGATAATTTTTAATATCCCGTTAATAGGAAAAATAGTCAACGTAAGTTAAAGTGCATTAATGATCCAGAATGATCGTTTTACAACAGATATGTATAGGAAATGTCGGTATTCATGGTTTTATGAGAATTATAGAAAAACTAATTCTATTACATTACTACTGCCCTTATTAATAAAACCGGACCAATAAGCCTTATTAAAAAAAATTTAAAAAAAAGAGAAAGAAAATGATACAGTACTCCGTTCTTCACATTATTTAAGTAGAAACTGCTAAATTTATCAAAAAGATCACATATTGAGATTTGTACAACGTTCGTTATGCGTTTAGCACAATTGTTTTTTTTTATTTATTGACGACATATTTAAAATGTAGAATTATCATCGCTCTTTCATCTAGTACTAAACGTGTAACGAAAATACCTCTTAATAGATAAGCATTACATGTTTAAATAGAGTTTATGCTAAAGTTGCCACACTAAAGTTTTGTGCAAAGAGAATATTTCTTTTCTTCTAAATTTCGGCCATAAAATATGTGCAATAAGAAAAGGATAATTTTAAAAGCGATTTTTTAAAATAACAATTGTGACAAAAATTCTGTAAATTAAACAGTTACTGTTTTATTTAAAATGTAAATTGTAATGTAAATTTAATGTAAATTATATAAAATCCAAATCAACAAACGAAAATATGTTAGGATCTTTATTAAGTCGACAAAGTGTTCCGCAAATAATACAAAATAGAAGGCCAAGTCTAGTAATTTCTTCACATCATAATTGACAAAGTATAGCAGAATCTCATATAATTCTCATATTTATTATAGTCTCATTATAAATTTCCATATTATTTTTAGTGTTATAATTTCTGTAATTATGGTTGTGTTTGTTAATATTTTTTAGTGCTTTGTTTAATACTCTTACTGGATAATATATTCAATATACAATTGTATAATATATACTCATGAAAAATTATTATCTCGATTTTTCAAGGTTGTAATTAATCGAATATAATTTTCCCAAAACCAAATTTTTCTTATTTATATTTTACAACACACTGCCAATAGATTTGATAGCAATTTGTTTGTCAATAGATTAAATAGATTTTATTGTGTTTTCGTAAATCTGTTTCATAATACTTGAAATAAGTTATACTACGTCAAGAGAAATGATGTAGGAGAATCAAGATTGTTGGCCATTCGATTGATACTAGTCTTCTTATAATTCTGATACAAATTTTCTATCTTATTTATGGATTTACTGAGTGACAACTTTAGAAATTGAAAATAGTTACAACTTTTCTTTATATGGCTATGATTTTATTTTAGATTACCTACACAATCTTTCATATTTTTTGCCATATGTATACTTATTTTGTATGTTATTTATGTTTTTAATTACACACATTAACCATTAAAATCATGATTGTTTTATTCATCATTTTACATAATCGTTATTAACTTGTACAAAGCACAATATTCTTCCACAAAGCCATATCTGGATAATCTTTTACAATTGTTACAATTACAATACACATTGCTTTATGCAACATTTAATATAAAGATAACATATGAATGTTAATGTCTGAAAAATTAACATTATAGGTTTTTAAAAACAGGTTTTTTATGTTTTTTGAAGCTTATGATATGTCACAATTATATTAATTATTATTGTTATAAATTGAACTGTCTTTTATCTTTATATCGAAATTGCTTTAACATAATTTTATAAGATTTGTATTGTATAGCATTTGTATTGCATTACATTAATATTTAGTACAGAGTAACCTTAAGATTTTGATTGAGAACAATTGAAAACACGTTTTCAATTTTGTATTTTTGTATAAGAATTTTATATCCAGGTTTTGTGCTCGATATATACTGAATGTTCCTAAAATGTTGGATTAAATTTTATCATTCTATTTAGTATATCCACTTCATTAAATTGACTTATTAATTCTATTCTCTCTCTCTCTCTCTCTCTCTCTCTCTCACTCTCTGTTAATCATGTTGATAAAAAAAATATGAAAATATAAGCCTGTAATTAGAATGTGGTCATATAATTTGTTCAAATATTTTACGAACATTCTGTATATGATGATAGGATATATTTATAGCAAGAGTACGCGTTTTACTTGATCCACGTATACACGTGCATTTTTAATTATGCTAAAGTGTAAGCTCTAAAACTCATCCATTATCTCTATTAACTTACTATGCATAATGATAATCAATCATACTATCTTTCATTAGTTCTCAATTTAGCCTCTACTAATCGATAAACGAGACAAGTTATACTATAAATGCATTTGAAAGAAAAGAATTTTCTTACTACCATGCAGTGATTCTAGGAAACGTTAAAAAATTACATTAATTTGATATTATTATCAGTGATTTTCTTATTATAATACAATGAACAATGATCTCTAGAGATAGAGATACGGTTATAAAATAATAATTTTTTTTTCATAGAATCACTGTGTTGCTAATAAAAGTATGTCTTTCTATTTATAACTTTATAAAAAAAATTCAAGGAATTTCTTACCTTGGTCGTTATCTCAGCAGATTGACAAAAATGATAATGATTCTAAAATACATTTTGAATTCCTACAAGGACAATCCTCCATATAAAGCAATGCAGACAATAAATAATTGAGGGAATTTGATAAATAATCCAATAAAATCGGAAGACTCATTGAATTTAAAGAAGAGAAAAAAAGAAGAAATTAATAGGGTAGATGGAATATTTTTATATGGATTCACACAGTCACACGAATAAATTTTATTCGACGAATTGTTTCGCGCATATCGTTTAGATTGTAGGCAATCTCTATTGATAAAGTTCACGCATTAATATTACACACTATATATAAGATTTAAATGCGCATTTTCTCATTTCTACATAGAAATGATACATCTCTTTAAGCAAATTCATGAAAATCTATTTGATACATTATCATTGCAAAAAGTTTTATCATTTCTGTATTGAAATGTATGCATATTCATGAAATATTTATACAAATACAGGGTCATCGAAATGCAAATACATCTAAAATATCTCAGACTTTCTTTCAATTATAGATTCATCTCAGATCTATGTAAAATAAATATTATTAAAAAATTATAAAAAATACAATTTTTTACGTTATTTTTTTCAATAATATTACATCACTAAACAAATTTTATTTAAAAAAGTGAAACTAATGAAATCCATTATTCTCATCATTAATTTTCAATATTAGATTTTCATTTTTAACATTTACGATAATATTTTAACGTTTCGACAAAAGCAGATATCTTTTCATTTAAAATCTATTATATGCGATCAGTAAAAGGTACCAGTTCTGATATACCCTGTATATGTAAAAGTCAAAAACCTTGTAAGAAATTCATGGTTGCGTCTTATATGAATAATTAGATTTAAAAAATTGTTTGAATCGTTCAATTTATTGTAGAAAAGATGTTAAATAAATGAATAAGGACTATCTAATCCATTAACAAATTTTCAATATTAATCTCATGAAAGTATGCAATAGCAAATTACAATAATGGCACACATATATAAAAAAAATAATGCAAAAATTCAACATTACTTACTGATTTGATAGAACTTACATTACCCCAAAAGATAACGAACAGTTACATTATAAATATGTACAAAATTTCTATAAAGTTTTAAATTTTCCAATCTTCACATTAAATTCTAAAATTTTCGTTGCAATAAAATTTATAATGAAAAACTTCACACATTTGAGTTTGTATTTCTTATAATTGCTTATACTTCTTACACAGGATGGATATAAATAAATAGATACATAATTTTGTTTTAAAATTAATGTTATTTCATCCATTAATTATATCCAACTATTATTAAATAACGAAACGATTAGAGCAAAGAGTGGGCCATAAGCATTAAACATATAGTACAATGTATGTATATATATATATATATATACTGTGTCAATAGTATGAAAGTTTACATAACATAAACTTTCTCGATTTTCTTATACGGAAATACTTCTTTGGTCTTTGGACAGATTACTGTGCCGTTGTTTTCTTGAGCCATTTTTTCTAATGCCTATAATGATTATAAATGCAAACATATGTTAAATAAATACAATTATACATTCTCTCGTAAATACATCATAAAGAAAATTAACATAATAAATTATTATATATAATTAAAATTTTGTCAAGGACATATTAACCATTGAAAACAACTTTATATTTATAATTAGTATATAACACATATATATATATCTACTAATATACATAATTTTTTTAACTTCAATTACTTTAATACTTAGAAATATTAATTGCTTTTACTTACTTGTTCGCCATATACATATCCATTAGGCATCATCATTGGCTGATTATATTCATTTAGTGGTTTCCCGCTTATGCTACAAACCAGCCGTGATTGAGAACAATGAGCAAAAGGTAGTGGCGCGGCCAATTTATTCAATGCTTCATTACAAACTGGACAGCTATGATTTCGGCCTTCTTTATTCGCGCTATAGCACTGAGGAGTTTTGAGAGCCGACAAGCCAGCCTGCAAAGCCACTGTAAAAACACTCTGGCTCGCTAACTGAAACAATCTGTAGTTTTCTTGTCGAAATGTTTCGATCAGTTTATCCCATCTGCAAGGAAAGTTTTTCTGAATTATTATTATTATTTATAGAAATCTAGTTACTGTATGCCATTCTATATATAGAGTAAAGTTAACTATTATTTTTATTAAAATATATATGAATCAAACAAATTTTTATAACATTCTATTTTTTTATTTCATTGTTTCTTGCTCTCTCTCTCTCTCTTATGATTCTTGTAATTCCTTTCTAATGAATTAACCATAATTATGAGTATTTAAAAATATAAGTAGCCAAACCTCTTTTCATCCAGCAGATCCTTGTAAGGACTCAGGTATGCGTGAGCCGGGAAAGCCAATTGACCCATACAATACTGAATCTCTTGCAGCTGGTAGTCATCATAATTGGCAAAGTATTTTCGAGCATGTTTTACCGCATCGAGCCGTCTGTCAGTTCTTACTAATTCAATAAATTCCTGCACGCGCAAATTAAACTCCATTGTGCTACCCAGTTTTCTTAGTTTTGATCGGTTGTCGTGGCACCAACCTATGCATCTCGCAGTTTCATGATTGGCTAAAGATTTCTCCACTTCTCTTGATACCATAAATACATCTATAACAGAAAACATAGAAGATATTGAATTGAGAATTTATAAAAACTCTGTGATTAAAAAATAAAAAAAATAATTTCTTGAGTTTCTATTTTCACTTTAGAATATTTATTAAGATCTTGTATTTCTCTAACTTGTTATTTTATGGAATTTATTTTATTGAATTTTTACTGCAATATATTTATGTATTATATAACGTAATTTTAATTTAATAATTACATAATCTAATGATATTTGACTCTTCTTTGCCATTTTCCTAAATTTTTACTTCAATTTATATAGTTAAATACATCTACACATTTTTCTGTATTTCTAAACGTTAATGTTGTATATTAATTAGTTATATTTCAAACAATGTACCAATATTTGTTAGCTCTCTAAGCTCGCTGCTATCTGCCAATTTAGTTGCCGTTTTGTAATATCCTTTACGAAGAAAATATTCTACTAGCATTCTGTCCAATCTCTGTCGTCTCCACTGATTGACAGCACTCGGAGAGGTATTAGCATGTTCCTTTAAGTGATCCAATCTTCTTTTGCACACCATGCCTGCTTGTAATTCCTCAGCTATAGATTCTTGAGCTTTGCGTTTTAAAACTTGAAGTCTGGCAACTACACCGCCAAGTAATTTGGTTATTTCTCCACTGGCTACATAAGATCCATCAGTTTTGAAACTTTTTTCAAGTTCATTAGATACTGCTTGTACATGTGATACTTCTCTATCAAGAGTCTTCTGAGCAGAGCGAAACTTCTTGTTCAAAAGTTCATATGGAACCTGTATTTTAAAAATACATTATCAACCATAAAAGCAAATTTTGACAAACATGTAATTATTTAAAAAATTGTATACCTTAAAAGATTATTGTCTATTTTATATATATGTGACAAATCTGTAGGATGTACGATTTGTATGTAATATGCAATAATATTTTTAAATGAATAAACAGTTTCCAACAACACCTTATCATGCCATAACGAGTATAAAAACTGTAAAAACTGCAAGAAAAAGATAAATGTTTACCTTCAATGTGGGATGTTCGAGACTTTTTACGTCTGACATGTTGGTTAACTGCTCAGGATTGTGACAAAGAAATACACGATGGAGTACACGATGAGATGATTAATGATCTAATTGCTTGTCAATTATTATATTGCACTGACATTCATGTCAATATTAATATGGTATAAAGGATTGGACGAAGAAATCAATAACAATAATACGAAGAATAATGATTTGAAAAATTCACATCACTCAAGTTCACCTTCGATTCACTTTTCAGTCATGTCACTTTGTTTACGCGTAATTTTAGAGTATCTAGTATCATCAGATTAATATAGATGGCTCCATCAGCGACAAAAGTGATGTTTAAGTTTATACTTAATCATATTTCGCGCCATGTGATAACGCGCAACAAGATGTCGCTATTCGGCGTCATGCAGCAATGTTGCCAACTGTAAATCGTTTGGCAAATAGCATTCGGGCATGCCCGGAAATATTCGGTGGCATTCGGGCGGTGCGCGCGAGTTACTCGGGCGGCCGGGGGCCGCCATTTTCTTCCAGCGAGGGAGAACAGTTCGGAACGTAGTAGTGAGAGTCCGCGCGCATTATTCCGTGAATCGAGTGGTCGAGAGTAGTGAGTTCGAAAGACGTGAGAGCTCCTTTCGCATACGCTGCGAATCGCGTACAATCGTATACGTACGTACGGCCGTGCGGGGCCTGCAGTGTGCCCGGTGGCCAGCATATCCGCGCGCGACATCGTACTACCGTACTGACCGCGGCGGTCACCCGGTAGACGGACGCCGCCGCGCGCCGTTTTGCAGAATCGACGACGAACCGAGGAAGATATATTTCCCGAAACAGCATAGGAAGACCGAGCGTAAAAAAGAGCTAAGAAAAATCGAGAGGAGAAAGAGAAAAAGAGAAGACAGCACGCGCGAGCGCGGATAGAGAGAGAGAAAGAAAGGGACAAGAAGCAAGGCGGAGAAGGAGAGAGACACACAGAGTGTGAAATAGTTTGGTGATCGCAGTGTAGCCGCGCAGTGCAAATACTCGACCGGCAGTCAACTTCGGTTGTTACAACGCCGAACGGGAATATCAAGGGGAGAGTGAGTCGCCTCCGACAGGTTAGTGCAAATGTGCGATCATGGCTTCTTCCTGCATGCGTGCGCGCGCGCTCGTTCGCTCGTTCGTTCGTTCGTTCGTTCATTCGTTCGCTCGCTCGCTCGCTCGCTCACTCGCACCAGCCGAGATAGTTGCCGCACCTCGCGTACTCGCAAGTTCTCTTGAAGCGGTGGCGATGTGGCGTTGCATGCGTGCGGCCAAGAATTCTGCGCTTCCCTGCCTCGTGCGTGCGTGCGTGCGTGCGTGCGTGCGCCTTTGTGTCGTACCGGGAGATGTGCTTCTTCCCGGCGTCTCCCTCCGATATTTTTTTTCTTATATTTCTTTAATCTATATAATTGCTACTTTATTCTTTCTGATAATTATTCAAGATATTCATTTAAAAAAATTTTTTATATTTAATCAATTTAAACAAAACTGATTATTATTGCCTATTTTTATATATAGAATGTGAAAATAATGTAATTAATAACATCACTCTCGAATAAAAAATAAAGTTGCAGTACATTAGAATGCTTGAATAAATAACGGAATCAATTGTTATAATTTTTTTTTAATAATTGATTATATCTTTGAAATAAATATCCTCAAAAAAGATACAAAAAGATACGATACCAATATTTGATTACAACAATTTCTAAAAATGCGACACGAGCATGTGTGCTCTAGAAATAACGTATTATGATAGAGCAGGTAATATAGACGCCGGGGAAGAAGCGCGTCAGGAGAGAACGAGCACGCGCCTTTCTTTTTGTTCACGCGCGCGCTTGGCCGAACTGTGGCCCGATTATTGCTTCTCCTTTCCTCTGCTCCTCCCGCATCGATTGCCTTCACTCCGCCACATTTCGCCACCGAGTACTGTGCGTGCGTGCGTGCGTGCGTGCGTGCGTGCGTGCGTGCGTACGAGCGATTGCAACCGCGACCGCATCGAATGAATATCTAGATTTCGTGTATCATGACTCAAAGTTGTGGCTAACAGTTTGGCACGTGTTTAACACATGTAAAAGATTAAACATAAGATTTAAAAATAAATAATAATTTACACAATATTAAATTAAATAATAAAAATATAGTTTCGGATTTTTTAAATCAAGAATTATGATACACAAATATCGAAATATATATTGCGTTTGATTCAGAAGTGTCAGAACCAAAAGTGAAAAACATTAATAACTCCGAGAGTATTCGTTTCACTTGGAACAAAGTAGATGTCCACTTTGAAAGAAAAAGTTAATTTTATTCGTTACACAAATATAAAAGTTTGTCGAATGTATAAATGATTATTGGGGAAAAATTTTGTTTGAAGTTCCGATAATGTTTTATTGACCAATTCGGCATGACCGAGAAATTCACCATATATAAATTATCAAATAGACAAAGAAAAAGGAAAAATCTCAGAGAAGTGTAGAAAAAGTATAAAAGAAACGGACTTGCTCCTGCAAGTTGTTAGTTTACTCGTTTCGTTTTCAACGGATACGACCACAGTTTTACCCGCTCATATGCCCCTTGCGCGCGTTGACCTTCGATAATGTTTCCGTGCGCGGGCGAGATGCATACTTACGTGTCAAATGTGAGGTAGAAAGAGAGAGAGAGAGAGAGAAAAAGAGAGGATAAAAACGATGCTGCTAACGTGAGCCGCGAGAGATTATGTGACTTTTTTTTATTTTCTTTTTCTTCGAGTGGAAGAATTGAGAACGGTGAAAGAAACGATGAGAGTGGACGATGTGGCGGAGAAGGAAAAAAATTTAACAGAGAGAGAATGTTATTCTTTTAATCATTCATTATAGTTATATAACAATAATTGCTTCTATCTGACTAACTGATTTTCGTATCTTTTAAATTTTATTTTATTCAATTTTTTTAATTTTTTCTAATTATATCAAGAATTGTATATTTATTCTATTTTATTTATAATAGTTTAAAGCTGTTCACTTTTGTTTATGGTGGTTCAAAAACTATTTATTTTATTTACACGGTTCAAGAATTGCTGATCGTCTTGCAAAAGTCACTGATTATAGTTAGATGACAGCATCTCGACGCGCAAGATACGGAAATTTGTTATTATGTTCAGAAAAACTTTCAGAACGGAAAAACATTATTATACGATTCCTGTCGCCGCGATCTTGAATAATCTTGACAATACTCAAGTAATAAAAAAGTATTCTACTCACTGGTACATGAATATCTTGTATTTTTTTATTTTGAAATTGTTTAAGTATCTTAATAGATACTTGTACAAAATTAAATATTATTTTTGTATAAATATTATCTGTGTTTGCAATTATTAATACTATTAACTAATATTTCTAGCGGTTAATCATTGATTCAATTTTGTATTAATCTAATTATTTAAAAAATCTAATTTAAGAAATGATTACTAGATTGTTGTTTTATAAATAACAACAGATATTAGATATTAGGATATTTGACGCTTTATAAATATGTTTAATAAAACTTGGAAGAAAAATATAAATATATTCAAAACGTAGAATATGCAGATAAAATAAATAAGATATAACTTTCATAGACTAATCATAACTAATCATAGAATACTCTTTCGCGCATTAAAATATATTAAACAACAGATAATGATCAGATGGCGGATATGAATTTAATTCGAAATAAAATAAAAAATAATGTTATTTTTGACATTTTATGATAAGAAGACAAATTAATGATTATACACAGAAAAAGTATTTTAGTATGTCAGAATATACATATATTATAATTGTTAAGAGGTGGCGTAAATGAGAGAGAGATTGAAAGCATTTTAAAAAATTACAGTTTACTTTTACAACTACTTACAAAATATAAATTAAAGATCATTAAAAAAAAATAAATAAAAAAATAAGGAGACAAATAGGCGAATGGATTAAAGTAGGATTGTATATGAAGAGGCACAAGTTAAAAAGCAATTGCAGCAAAAAATTGATTTAATTATTACATTGAGATATATTAATATATTTCAATGCATTTATATATATGTCTATTATGTTCCGCCATTCTTCGTGTCCTTGAAACTTCCATTGTATCCACGATTTCTGCGATTTCACAAGTATATTTAGATCTCGTATCGCATTCCTCATCGTTGTTAGGTTTTCTTTGCTGTTCATCGTAGTCATGTCGATTGCACGATTTTCATAGCCATGTTCTCCGCATTCTCCACCGTATCCATGTCTATTCTTCACGGCATCTATACTTCTCAAGTAGTTCACTTGATCTTCATCCTCAGTGTTCCCCATCCGCGTTTTCTACCTCTTTCGTATCGGTTTTCACAATTTTTATCATATCTTTGTTCTTCGCATTTATTTGTTATACTCTCTCGTATAAGCATTTCAACTAAGGTTACGAACGATATGATGTCACAAAACAAATATTCAAAAAGAAAAAAGTAAGCATTTGACCGCGCACATTGATGACCTGGAAAGTTTATGAACTCTTGTAAACATATATAGGATTCTGATTCTTGTCGAACAAATCGACGAGCATGATAACGCGACGATTTCATTATTTAGTTCATCAATCATATACATTCTTTATTTTTATAATTATAAATATTAGTATAAGCAAATCATATGGTTTTTATAATTCTTTGTGTTTTACAACGTAATAAATGATGCGTTTTGGTGGAAACACGAAGGGTCGGGAAGAGGGGTGAGAGAACGATGCTACATTAAGCTGATATATCGCGAGACGGATAAATAGATAGATAGGAGGAAGAGAGGGAAGGGGGGTAGTGAAGCGGGACAGGGATACAAATGAATAGTATTCTAGAAGCGTCCAAATGGCGGTCGCGCTTGGCACAATAAGTGATTTATGGCGTTGTACCCTCCCTCCCCTAAACACTGTGTGAGTCTTCGTCGCACCCTTGCAACATTGCGGTGTTGATGTTATTGCACCATAATTTGCTCGCCGATAGCGTTTCACCAATAATAATATCTGACACGTGCTTTACGGAAGGTGCGACAATTAAACAATTATCATAAATGAAAATGATTTAAATTCTATATAACTTTTGTGATCGTGTTCTATAGTATTCGCATTCGCGATCAATTAGCTTTTAAGAGAGCAAGTGCCGATTAAGAGAGCGCCTTCACAAGAGTCGCGAGACAATTAGGACGACCGAAAACACTGAAACGAGACTCTCTCTCTCTCCTGTTTCCTGTGTGATTCAGGTTTCATGTGCGTGCATACATGCGGATGTGTGTGCGTCACACGCAAGCTCAAATGATATACACACTTGCGCGCAACTCGAAGCACGTTGCGTAACCTTCGCCGAATTTCCAGCGAATATGGAACAACCTTGATTGCTTGCGCTTGCTTGCGTGGCGCCTTTCTTTCTTTCTTCTGGTATCGCGAAAATCTACTGATGAACGCGGCAAGAATCACTTCTCACATTTTTCACAATTACGCGTAATCATGGCGTGGCAAGTAGAAAGGGCACACAAACGGTTTATTTAATATTAAATAAAATGATAAATAGTATTATTTACATTTTTATTTATAAAATTTTTGTAGTAACTAACTAAATTTATTAATTATTCGTAGCATTCTTATCTCTCTGAATACAATTAATATGAAAAGTAATTAAGCGATTAAGAAGACTTAAATGAGAAATAGATCTCTCTGAATCGATAGAATTAAATTCTGCTGATATTTTTGGCGCTCGTGTTTATGCATAATTTTTTTTTTTTGCAAAAGAAAAAGAAAATGAAGTATATCGCAGCAAGGAATACGGGTCACAACGTCGCTGAATAAGCAACCGACCGACCGGCCGTGTCACCGCTTGCTCTCCGCAAGCAAGCGTTCAGCAAATTACGTAAGGCCAGAAACGAGAGCTCGTTTAAATGCCGGCTCGCCGACGACGGCGAATAACACTGTACTCCGTGCGAGTATTTTTTTGTGTGTCAAAGACACTTGTTTTTGTGAGATTCGGAGATACAAAATCTGAGGTCATAATCGTGTTTTGTTCTGAAATTAAAACATAATAAAACTATAATTAGTA